GGGACTCACATTTTGATGGCCTAAAAAGTTTTCGACGGAATGGGAGACGTAAATGATCTTGCCGAGTCCAGTGGTGACCACGATAAAGCCCTCGACCGACTACATGACCAAGCACACAAAATACAATTAAAACAAATTGCTTTAAATTAACATTCATTAAGCGGACAGTAATGAGGAAAAACATTGCAGACAATAATCGCTCAAAAATTCAAGAGAGAAAAGTGAATCAATGATTGCGATAATAAAAACTTAAGCGAAAAAGTCATTAAGCATTAAGTATTTTAAGGGAAAAAAAAGTTATTGTGAAAAGTGTCTGAAAAATACGGCTTTTTTGAAACAACAAGAAAATTGACGTTTACTTCAATCAAAGCCCGCAAATGGTTGAACCGAAACTTGTTTGGTCGCCACAACTGGTGGTCGCTGGTGGTGGCCGACGACTGATGGCACGACTTCTTGGACTTGCGTTTCTTCAGACTTAAGGCCGCTATAAATGGCAGACAAATGAAAGGCACAGACATTAGAGACAAGTGTCACGACAGTAGAGACAGTATTAACAAAAATATCTATACTTTTATTGAGTCTGAGGTAAGCGGCCGACAGCCGCAGCACCGATGTCTTGTCGAGCCGTTTGGCGGACATAGTGACCAGGGGCACCGTGTTAGCAAGGTCGTTTATATAGCCGTTCAGTTTGTCCCGGCGCTGCTTTTCGGCCATATTCCTCATGTTACGGATGTCCCGGTTCTGAGACATGTCCTTCATTTGGTCCATACAGTGGTCACTGGAGTGAGTGTCGTCTCCGGTGGCGAAGGCCATCATTGGCACCAATCAACCGATCACTGCATATAAACAATTGTCTCAACCATTCAGACATCAATGGGTATTATGAGCCGAAATAGTGGACAATATATTTCGTGTCATTCAACGGCAACCATACAATTAATCACTAGTTTTGAGCACCGATTGTGAGGCAAATCAATAATATATTATTAAATTTTGTCAAAACACTTATTTGTAGTCATATAATGATTACGTGTAATATTATGAGGTATTATGGGCACTGATTTGGGTATGAATATAATGGTAACAAAAAATAAGTAACTAGTTGAGAAATAATGGGAAACTAATAAAAATGAAAATATTGCGAAACAATTCGTAGAGTACTGTATAGAGAGAGCCTATGAATAGCAGTGGACTCCGAGAGACATCCAAATCGTGTCAATCGTGTAGTATTCACATCACAATTGCAGTTCAATTAAGCAAACAATTTGTTGAACCACACAATCAACTGATGTCTTGTCTGGTATCACACTTCAAATCATGGCTCTCGACATCGGGAGTGAATATATTGAACGAGTGATTGGTATTTAAAAATATGGGATATATTAGTGTTTGATGGTATGAAAAATATAACTAATATTTTGTTGGCTGTGAACAGTGAACACGAATATACACTTCAGTCTCCACCAGAATATACAGTGGTTTAGTGTATTGGCTGTCACTATACGAGTGGCTCACTTGCGCTGTAGTACAACAGCGCTATGAAAAAGCGCCTAAACATACATCTGTTGCCTACCAGTGCTCAACGCACAGAACCAGCACATATACTACATGAAACTTGTATAATCATCATAACTTTGTAATTGTACCAGTGCCAACTTCGGTAATGTTGTTCACGGTGGGAATATTGTACACATATATTGCAAAATATAGCGTTTTTTATAGAAAATTTTATTTCACACTTTCCTCAAACAATTCCTAATATTAGTGTTTATCTTGTTTTTTGTATTATTTGTTTTCCC